AGAATCGAAAGCGAATGTCTGTTCCCTTGCTTATTGGATCAATCTATGCAGCTTAGATTAACCTGTGAAGGCTGCATAGATTCAGCCGTGGGTTTTTTGACTGTCTGCATTTAACCTAGGGCTTTAAGCAAGGATGCAGACACGAATAAGAGACTAGGGGCTAGGTGGTAGTTTCTGAACTGTCCAAGGGCACAGCAAGGTGGTCTGCTCTGAGCGTATAAGGGCCAGTGTGAGTGGAGCCCTCTTCCTGAGGGATGACTCAGCCGAGGTCCCTGATTACTTGCAGCTGAGGCCAGGGATTGGCTTGGCTCCATTTGGGCCTGGGCTCTTTCCTCCCTGTAGCTGTGGGGTAACCTGCAGGGAGGAGCTAGACAAAATGCAGAAGCAGCCAAAGCAGGAGTCCATGGCCATTCAGAGGATTTCCTACAGCCCTGGTTGGACTTTTGGTGCTCTGTGCTGACCAGCTGTGTCCTTCCCCCTCCTGCCCCTCTCCCTCTCCCTCACCTTCACTGCAGACCTGCCCTCTTCCTCATCTCCCTTTGCTTCCCCTTCCTCTGTGTCCTCTCTCCTATTCCATTTAGCTTCTCATAACAAGCAGAAGTAGCTGCTGTTTTGCCTCTGCCTATTCTATCCCTTCCACCTCTCTATGGATGTTTTATTTATTCAGACTGCAAACAGTTCGGGCACAGACTGCCTGCTACTCTGGGGCCATGTCTACACTTTGCAGCACCTGTGAAAGGGCCATAGAGAAGCATGACCTGCCCGTGCCACCTCCCACACACTGCGCATGCAGCAGACCCAGAAAGGAAAAGGTGCCACGTCTCCAGATGATGGCTCCTGCAGCTGCTCTCAAGCATTCCCGAGACAGCACCCTCATTTCTCTGCTCTGGCTGGAATTTCTCAGCCATTGTCATCTAGGTTGAATGTACATTGAGCAGTTGTCCTTGCTCTTGTCGCTCTAAGGCCATCGTGGCTGGTTTGTTCTTGATTCCTGTGCTTGCAACCAGGCTGTGTCCGAGGCTCCATCAGTTCAGTGGTACCATCAGTGCAACTTACCCTCACAGTGGGTTACCATATTTCCCGTTTCAAAAAAGAGGACACCTGTGGTGGTGGTGGTGGGGGTAATAGGATTGTGGGAAGAGGCAGTGATATACCCATACTCTGCCCCTGCCCCTCACTCCAAACCACAGCCCCCCCCAGCCCTGCTGCTGCCCCTCGCTCCCAACCCGCAGTACCTTGTCCCCCAGACCATGCTGATACCCCTTACTCCCAACCCTCAGTCCCCCTGTCTTTGCTGATACCCCTCACTCCTGACCCATAGCCCCTCCAACCCTGCCAGTGCCCCTAACTCCCAACTCATGGCACTTTGTCCCTCTCCGCCCTGCTGTTGCCCCTCACTCCCAACCTGCAGCCCATTGCCCCACCAAGCCCTGCCAGTGCCCCTCAATCCCAAACCATAGCTCCTGCCTCCCCCTGCTCTGCTGGTACCCCTCACTCCCAACCTGCAGTCTGCCCCAACCCTGCTGGTGCCCCTCACTTCTGACCCACAGCCCTGCCAGTGCCCCTCACTCCCAGCCTTCAGCCCCTTGCCCCAACAAGCCCTGCCAGTGCCCCTCAACCCCAACCCATAGCCCCTGCCTGCCTCTGCTCTTGCTCTGCTGGTACCCCTCACTCCCTACCTGCAGTCCCCCCCCAACCCTGTTGGTGCCCCTCACTTCTGACCCACACCCCCCTGCCCCCCCACAGCCCTGCCGGTGCCCGTCGCTCCCGACCTGCAGCCCCGTGCCCCTCCAGCCTTACTGCCTATGCAGCTCCTTGCTGCCCCTGACGAACCCCCCAGCCCCTCCCCTACCTCCCTACCCTGTTGCAGCCCCAGTGCCGGCAGACATGCACATCCGTGCATGTGTACACACACACATACACACCTTGCCCCCGACCAAGTCCTCCAACCCCCACCCTATAGACTTTCCTGCCTGATCTGCAAATGAATGGGGATGCTTAAAAGCATGTCGGGGCTTTTCTGGCAATGATTTTTCAGCAGAAATATTAGAAACCGAAATTCTTCATGGAAATGTACCAGTTTAGGTGAAACTTTCATTGCGGGAGGATTTCTTTTGTCACGTGTGAAATGTCTGGCCAGAGAGAGACCAAATTTTCCCAAAATAACCCATGTTCCACTCTGTTCCATCACTGATTTGAGGCTCATTCTTTTTTTACTGCGATTAAGGATTTTACTCTGCCTCCCATATCCCAGGTGAGTGCCATGGCTACAGGGCTCTCAAATTGGTCCCTGTTGGTGTCCCAATGATTGTTTAATTGTTTATGCTAACTGGAACAGCTTGCAGTGGGAAAATTCAGAGACACCTACCCAGAATAGCCTGTGTGTTTTGAGACTCACACCTGGGATGTGGGTGACTTGGATTAAAGTCTTTTCTTTGCCTGGGGAGGAGCAGGCACTTCAGCCTGTGCCACTCACAAGCCGGATGAGCGTTTTGAACAGTGGCACTTGGCCCCTCTCTGCTTTCATATGAAAGTTCAAAAGATCTCTCTTCAGATCCGAATGCTGAATAGGAAAGATTTTTCATGACAGATTTTTTTCCCTTTCCCAGTTCTACTGAGCGCATGTTGTAAAGTGCTTTGAAATCTATGAGAGTTGACCATTAAATGTTATATAACTTTTCCTTCTACTGGCCATTTTTTAATTTTTTGCAATGCTGTCTATAGTTCTTTAGTTTACTTTGATCCAGTTTTCTTTAATTAATGTTATGGCCTTTTTTGCAGCATCCCAGATACTCTTTGGGTGCTGAAAAGCAACTATTTTTTTTTTTTTAAGTATTAATTTAAGCCAAAGAATACAAAGGTTCAACTTGATGCCATCTCAAATGTTTGATGCGCTGCCCCTCTTCTGACCAAGACAATTAGGGGAGCAAGGAGTTAATGGAAACACAGCTGCGCTTGCTGTTGTAACAATAACAGCAAAACAAGAGTTTGTCTGAGCCGCATATTAATAATACTTAGGCCTTAATGATGTTTTGAATTTGCAAAGAGCTTGGCCAACGTTAACTAATTAATTCTCACAGCCTCCCACTCCCTGCGAGGGATGGAGGGATTAACTGTATTTTACAGATGTGGGAAACGGAATCAGAATGAGGTTAAGAGACTAGCCCAAGGCCACAGGAAAGAATCAATATCAGAGCTATGATAGCAGTTGAGTGTTTCTGGCTCCTGGTCCAGTGCTCAGACCATGGGGCCCCCTTCTTGTGCTGTCATATGCATACCCACCATTTCATTACTGTGATAGTACTAGATCAATCTCTATAACAGGGCCTTTGTCCCAAGGAATAGCATAAAAGGGCTGGCAGATGCAAGGGGCATATGCTTTATGGCAGGATTCGTTTCTAAAATGCACCAGCCTAGAACTTGAGGCTGAAGGCACTGATGCAGTGTCATCATGTCAGGCCACTTTGGGACCATGCAAGTTTTCGGGATGAAGCACAGGGTGGCCGGAAGTAGGTTCTCGGTCTCTTCTTCCAGAACGCAGGGATTGTCCAGGCCTGACACTGCCCTGTATTGTGCATCCATGTCCCCCTGGGAGACGCAGGAAAACTGAAGCGACTCTACTGACAGTGCAAAGTCCACGTGCATCTATATAGCTGTTCCCATTCAAGAATAAAGTTGCAGTTATAGACTAGCCAGCCACAAAACTTGTGCGGGAGAGTATTTTTGTGAAGGGGTTTGACTTATGCCTACCAACCTCGTGTATTCATTTGATTCACCCTTCCTTTCTTGGGTGTCCCTGTTCAAACGTGACCTCAGCTCCGACGTTTTGCTATACTCATGCACTCTGATCAGCATAACTGGCTTAGTTAGCTCTGGTTTAGCAGTTCTGTTTTATTTCCTGAGTTCTAACGTAAAAGTAAGGTTGAGTTTATTCTGTGCACTGACTGGGGTCAGAAAACTGAGCAGAGAACATGAGCTCCTTGGGACAGGGCCATCTTTTTGTCCCCTGTTTGCACAGCTGTTAGCACAGTGGGTTCCTGATCCAGGCCTGCTGCTCCTAATTGCTATTAAAATATTAATAATAACCAGGGAAGGGGTGGAGTGGCTAATGTAGGTACCCATAGCCAAACTAGTTGAGCTAAAGGAGAGACATTTTCTAAGGGAAAATGCAGAACACCTGAAAGTGGGTGGTAAAAAGCAATTTTAATGCACAAGGGATACTTTTCAGGGTGTAACAAAGCAAGACATAACAGCAAGTTGCCAAAATCTATTGGCCAGCAGGTGGAGAGACTAAGTTACTAGCACTTTAAGTCTAAGCAGAGTGCAGTGCATAGGGTCCCTGCCTAAGGAAGCCTTACTAGCATTGCTGGATCCTGGAGTGGAAGTAAGGGGAAGAGAGTGGGAGAAGAAAAGCTTTAGCATCTGAAATGGCAAGGCCTGAAAGTCACTGAGTTGGGGCAGAGGGGTAGGAGAGAAGGGTTACGAATATGTATACAGTGGCTTTCAGAGGGGAGCCCAGGACATCAAGTTTGCATCAAAGTCAGGGGGCATTTAGATCTGGGGTCTTTGGTTTGACTATCTTTCTACTATAACATATGTTTCCAGTCTAACATACACATTTCTGGTGGTATTCACAAACCATTCTGCTTTGAAGCAGCAGGTTGGGGGTGTTTCAGTTTAAAACTTGTTGAAATATTTTACCAAAATGAGGTCAAATCCCTGAAGAACGATCAATCACAGGGCCTCGTCATTTTTCTCCCCCTTAATCCCTCTTGAATAACTTTAGACTTCAGCGTGAAATTCATATATTTGACTTCTTGTGGTAGGAATAAAATACTCCTTAAAATACGCAATCCCAGAATATATATATAAAAACCGTAAAGGCTTGCATTTAAACGTCCTTTTGAAGCAAGTTTAGGAGCAGATTTGTTAATGTTTAACATCTTCATCAGTGTCATTCTTTGTAAATTTGCACTAATTAAGTCCAAAGGGACGAAATGATAGATTATGCATGTGTCGTGGTGCCAGAACGAATAAGCCGGTGATCAGTTTGCTTTTGGCATATTTTTCCTGTGGTGTAAGATTTTCTGATTTTAATCAATTTCTGAAATAAAGGTAAGTAATTAAACTTTTATACCAAGCTATCAGGGGACATCTTTTTTTAGTTTTTTTTAATTCTTTGCTGCAAATGGACTACAGCCTTACCCATTTTAGGGACCCAATCTAAAATCCATTGAAAATCAAAGGAGAGACTGCTGTTAATTTCCATAGTCTTTAAATAAAATCCTAGTGGAATAGTCTGAAGTAAAGAGTAAAGGCTGAATTTGTACAGCCTGCTTGATGATATAAAAATCACAGGATGGTATAGGAGACGGTGGCTCTAGTTCACCATTTGCTTTTGGGTTTCGTTTCCCATCTGAAATGTAACTCCTTTTTTGTCTGTTATCCTAACCCCATTCTTCCCTTTGTTGAATCCTTCCATCAGATCCCCATTTTTTTTTTCCTTCATCCAATTCAAGGGGCCTTGCAGGTGCTGTGGAATTAAAAACAGAGAAGCTCTTCAAAAGCGAAGTCAGACCTAATCCTTCGGAGATCAGAGGCTGACTTGCAAGCATTCATTTAGCTTGCAGGCTGGAAGATACTGGGTCTCGGGGGGGGTCATGCAGCACACAAGCACCGAGAGCAGATATGGACATTACATTTTTCCTGGTAGAAGTGATCAGGAACTGGTCTATGCTCCTAACAAAACAGACGTTCGATGCACATAGACTGGTTTAAAAATGGCAGCCCCCCAGTCTAAGATTTGCTCCCAAAGGGAGAATGTGTGTTCAGTTTGCTACCAATCCCAACCACACCCCTGACAGAAAACTATATAACTTCGATTGATCTCTGCCTCGGGCTTTTTGAATATCTGCATGTCAACCGAGAGACTGTCTGCAGCAGAAAGTGGTGCCGTGTTACAGTTTAATACAATTTGAGTGAGAATATCTTTAATATACCGCAGGCAGTAACACGGCCGTGTCGAATCTCTAACAGTAAACACAAGGCCAAAGTCTGAGCAGATTTTTAATGGCTTTTTATCGATTTGAAAGGGGGGGGAGGGGAAGTTCATCGAAACTGTAGCTAATTTTGGTCATTTTGTTGCAAATTTGACCGCAGGATAGAAGTAATCACTGCTTCAAGCTTAGACATGGCTTATAAGTGTTGATGCTAATAAACCGATTAACATATGTTTTTCCTTGGCATTGTAAAGCTGGGCTGTTCCTTTGTAAGGCCACTTGATGTGGTAGTCATTTGGGCTAATTGGCTCAGGGATAACATTGGATTTCTGCAAGGAAGGCGCTCAGTTCCCCACAGGGCAGATGGGACTTGAACATGCCGGTTCTCAGCACTGCACCTATATTCATCCCGCTCTGCTGGTTTTCTCCCGTTTATTCTGGAAGGATTATTCAGAATAAAAAGTCTGGGATTTTCAAAATGACCTCTGGGGGTAGGTGCCTGTTTCCTCTTGGACTTCTGTCGGGACGGGGTTGTTCAACCCAATTCAGCCTTTTTGAAGATTGCTGAGCAGAGTGGAAAGTGCAAAGTCCCAAAAGTCAGATTTTGATTGTACCAAACTTCAGGTGATAGCTAAGATTTTCATTCCTTCATCCCATCATACGCATAGATGACGGGAAGTGTAAAGTCTGGGGAGGAAAAATCCGCAACCAACTTACAGGCTCGGTGCTAGGCTAGCTAGCACCATAGCCGAAAGGGACCTGGGGGTCATAATTGACCATAAAATGAATATGAGCCGCCAGTGTGATGCTACGGTTAGCAGAGCAAACAATATGCTGGCGTGCATCAACCGATGCATCGCTAACAAAACTAAGGAAGTTATTCTCCTGCTATACTCGGCATGGGTGAGGCCACAGCTGGAGAACAGCATCCAGTTCTGAGCGCCGCACTTCAAGAGGATGTGGAGGAGCTTGAGAGAGTGCAGAGAAGATCCACTCGTATGATTAGAGGCCTGAAGAGCAAGCCATACGAGGAAAGGCTGAAAGATATGGGACTGTTCAGCCTAGAAAAAAGAAGACTTTGCGGGGATTTGGTGGCAGCTTACAAATATATCAGGGGGAGCATCAGGGGCTAGGTGAGCAACTATTCACCAAAGTGCCCCAGGGGAAAACCAGGAGCAGAGGTCATAAACTCCTAGAAGGTTTCATATTGGATATAAGGACAAACTTCTTCACAGTTTGTGTGACCAGACTCTTGAAGAGACTCCCAACGGGGGTGGTGCAGGCACCTACCCTGGAGATCTCCAAAAGGAGACTGGACACGCACCTTGCTGGGGCAATTTGACCCCAGCCGTCTTTCCTGCCCAGAGCAGGGGGGCTGGACCTGATGATCCCACGAGGTCCCTTCTGGCCCAAAACATCTGTGAATCTGTGAAGCCACAAAGCAAAACTTGCATCCAAATCTAGAACCAGAACTAGGGCTGTGGTTACTTTTTGGTGTGGAGGTGTGTGTGTGCATGTGTGAATAGCTGCATGTTTTCTTTTTGGCATCGAACAATCCCTAAAAAAATGACGGATGAATGCTTGAAAGCAGAATTTTGAAAAAGAAAATAGCACCAAGTCCTCACCCTTCTTTCCAAATACGACTATTTTTAGTTTATACGATTAGAAATAGAGGCCTGTGGTTGACTAAATCCTGTATGATGTATCTGTTGGGATGTAAAGGTGTGAAGGAGATCTGAGTGTCATTATGCTCTTTTTAAGTTCTCCAGCAAAATCCACAGGGCTGGAGCTTTCAAGGAATTCAGACAGAAGGGATGTGAACGGAGACATTTTAAAGCATTTAGGCCAAGAAGGGGAATGTGCTGTGGGAGCAAGGAGCTGCTGCTGTTTTCCCTCTGAAGGTGATAGCAAATGGTGACAGGGTGATAAAGCCTTCGGGGAGACCATGCAAGAGGCAACAAGCCGCAGTGCTGAAGCCTTCAGATTGTCTGAAGCTCACCCGAGCAGCTTGCCTGAAGGTCAGTCGTAACATTAGTTTTTGCCCTTATGTGCCTTCCATCAGCGTTCGCTCAATGGCCCTGTTAATGTGCGTCCACTCAGACGTTTGTTAAAACTCACAGTTTTCCTAAAGAGAGAGAGCAAATAGCATTATCCTCAGGGTGCAGATGGCTGCAGTGCTTAAAAGGATCTATGTACGCTTTAAACCTCAAGAGGCTAGATGGGCACACCACTTAAGACCAGTTTAAACTTCCTGGATTATTTCAAAAGCATACTGGGAAAACAGTACTGTTTCAAGCTGGTCCCCACTGAACCATTTCAGTGTTACACAGGGACACACAGGACTGTATGGCCCACTGCTTGTGGTGACCAAGGGGCTGGGTGCTATGGACCCTCTCCCTGGATCTCTGCAGGTCTCAGCTTCTGCATTGAAAAGAGACTTGCCAATCCAGCACCTTGCTAGAGCCCTGCACTCTGGGGTTCACAGGCTCATTTGGGGTAGCATCTCCCACCCTTACCCTAAATGAGCCTAGGGTCCTGCTGAGTGGGGTCCATTTCCTGCCATTGGATCCAGCCTGCCCCCCCAACTCCCATCCCAGCACACCTCGGCCTTAGGAGGGGTTAGAGATAGAATGTACATATAAACTGGTTTAAGTGGTCAGACACTGGTTTAAACCTGTAACAGAACAGAAGATCAGTGCATATAAAACAGTTTTAAAATGGCTGAAACTGGTTTAAGATAAACCTGGCTGAATGTAGCATTAGGCTTAAATGATTTAGGCTGATTGCATGCTTTGCAACCCTGGGCTGGGCTGGTCTGTGCTGTCTGCTCCAGTGAGTGGGGCTGGCCCTGCCTCTCTGCTCCCTAGCTAGAGCAGTGAGGGCTGCCTCACTGTCCCCCAGGCAAACCCGGTCTGGGGCCAGGGAGGTGGGTTATACTTACCTTCCCCTGAGTGACTGTGGACTACAAATCCCAGAGGCACCTGGAGTAGGAAGAGGAAGTGATGAGCAACCCTGCAGAGTCCTGCTGCTGTGATTGTAGACTGCAAATCCCAGAGACCTCGGGAGCAGCAGGAAGAGGAATGGAGCACACAGACCATGCTAACTACTTGCAAGAAAGCTGTGCTCTAGTGATCCCCAGCTTCTGGCTTGAGCCACTGAAGGCATGTGGCTGCATTTCCTGAATCAAAAGCGATTGTGTGGTTATTTGCTTATTGGTTCAATCTTTGCAGTTAACAATAACCTGCAATGACTGAATCAATTCAGCATCGGGCTTTTTGACCATCTGTACATAGCCTTGTAAGCTAAGATGAAGTTGATGTAGTTGAGGGTGGAGACCTGTCCCTTGCACTTCAGGCAGGCCCCCTTGCAAGAATCTACTATAGCCTCCCAATGGGAGGATCTCGGCTGCATATCTTATGGCAATGGGGAATTGCTTTCGGGCAGTCCCTCTAGCTTGCTCCTTCGGCCTTTTGGCTGGAGGCAAGCAAAAGTAGGGGGCATCTGCATGAACGACTCATGCCCCCAGCGGCTGGGGGGGCATGGTGGCGGCAGGAGTGGTGGGAGCATGGCGGCGGTAAGCGGGGGAGCTCCCGCAGATGCCACTGGTGCTGTTAGCGGCAGGGACGGCAGCCGGCAGCAGGGGTTTATAATAAGGAGGGGGGGGAGGGGACTGAAAAGAGGATCA